GGAGGGGCTGCAAAGCCAGCCCAGGGAGCTGTGAGGAGGAAAGAGCCGTCCTGTGCCGGGAAGGCGGCCGGAGCTTGAGCCGGAGCTCCGAGCTGGTGGTCCCTGAGCAGCCTCCCAGCAGGGAGAAGCCCTTCAGGTGCTTGGAATGTGGGAAGAGTTTTAAGAAGAGCTACAACCTCCTCAGGCACCTGCACATCCACACTGGGGAACGGCCCTACATGTGTGGGGAATGTGGGAAGAGCTTCAGTGACATCTCCACCCTGATCAAACACCAGCGCATCCACACTGGGGAACGGCCCTTCAAGTGTTTGGAATGTGGGAAGAGCTTCAGTAGACGCTCCCAACTCCACACCCACCAGCACATCCACACTGGGGAGATGCCCTACACTTGTGGGGAATGTGGAAAGAGCTTCAGGAACAGCTCCAACCTCCGCACTCACCAGCTCATCCACACTGGGGAACGGCCCTACAAGTGTGGGGAATGTGGGAAGAGCTTCAGGCAGAGTTCCCACCTCCGCACCCACCAGCTCTTTCACACTGGAGAACGGCCCTACAAGTGCTTGCAATGTGGGAAGAGGTTTCAGACCAGCTCCAATCTGCTCCTGCATGAGCGGACACACACAGAGGAGAGGCCCTTCCGCTGCACCGACTGCAGGAAGGGCTTCAACCGGAACTGCAACCTCGTCAGGCACCGGCACATCCACACCGGGGAGAGGCCCTACAAGTGTGGGGAGTGTGGGAAGAGCTTCACCTGCAGCTCCCACTTGACCAAACACCAACAGACCCACCAGTAAGGGAAGGCCCTACAAATGCCCCGACTGTGGGAAGAGCTTCGTCCGCTGCTCCCACCCCGAATGACCCTCCTGATGGTGAGGCAACCCCTGGAGTCCAGGGACTGTCAGTCCATCCCTTTCTACCAGAAAGGGCCAGTCCCCTTTGCCAGGGGCAGGTTGTGCCAACAGAACCCTTCTTGGGGGTGTGTGGAGATTCCTGCCTTGGCTGGGACCCCCCAAGGTCACCTTGGAGGTTGAGAGCAGAGATCTCCCCACGAGCGTTGGTCTGGGGGAGTTCCATCCCTCTCTAATTCATAGTTCTTGCTTTTGTGTCAGTTTTAGTAGCATTGTTTCAACAGTTGCTTTAGCATAGAGCGCTGTCCTATCTAATCCTGTACTACTGGTCGTTTTAGTGTTTCTATTGTGTAGTAAATAATTCTGATGAAGGTGTTTTGTCTGATCAGTTGTAATCCTAAATAGATATGATTTACCATCATTAAAACCTGGGGGACAAAAGTGGTTCAGTCCCACCTCAGTTATTCCTCTAAACTGAAATTGTTGGCATAATACAAGGCTGAGATTGGATCCAGCCCCCCACAAGAAGTTGGGAGCTCAGGGGGCCACCCCCCTCTGCTAACCCCCTGTGCCCAAAGATCCCCATGATCTGTCAGACCCACCAGACCACCCCCCCTTTTC